ATGAACAACACACAAGTTGATTAGCTACGTCTACCCAGCCTATAGAAAAATGGAGGGGAAAAAAGAGTAGATAGCAATATTTTAAACTGCTCTATATTTTACTCTTTCTTTGGAGCCTAATTCTCCACTGCCTTGTGCTTTCTAACTAGTAGTGAAAAACAGAGCTAAAATAGAATGGTAATGTGTCGCAGCCACTTCACATAGGTATAAATGACAACAAAAGGTGCAAGGCTGTGGAGAATCAAGTCCTTTATATTCAGTCACTTTTAGTTGAATAAATGCACATGCTTAGGAGCAGATTCTGCCACTCTTAGATTGAATCCCACCTTATTCCCCCAGTCTGATCCAGAGCCAGATTTTATTTTATGGCGTGGATCTAACTCTACAACAAAAAGCAAAAGGAAAAGGTAAGAAGTGCTCCAATTTCCAGATTCTTACAGTCACAGGACATGGAGTGTCTGAGAAAGTGTCCCTGTGCCAAACGAGCTATCCTCAATACAGTGCTCTGGCTCAGGGAAACTTAACTGCAGAGCTGGCAAGATGACATAAAATCATCTCCATTCCTGGTGTGGCAGGAGCAGGGCTGGCTCCAGGGTTTTTGCCACCCCAAATAGCGCAAAAAAAAAAGTCGCGATCGCGATCTGCGGCGGCAATTCAGTGGGAGGTCCTTCGCTCCGAGCGGGAGTGAGGGACCGTCCACCGAATTGCCGCCGAATAGCTGGATGTGCTGCCCCTCTCCAGAGTGGCCGCCCCAAGCAACTGCTTGACAAGCTGGTGTCTGGATCCGGCCCTGGGCAGGAGCACCATCTCTTCAAAAATGCAGTACAGTCCCCATACTGCTACCCCTCCCACCTCAGGAGGAAGAGTTGCTATGTATTGAAGTGTCCACAGTTTTGCTTTTTCTAGCTTATTACACTATATCCCAGCACCTTCAAAATCCTCTATGCCAGTCAGTACAGTTGGGGATGAAACTCACAAATTCCTGTACTAACTGTAAGCTTTAGGCACCTACGCACACCTCAGGCCTACAGTGTTCTTAAACTAAGTTAAATAAAATCATAGAAAAATATTGATTTTTACTGTTTTTGATAGAAATTTCACAAATAAAAAATCTATGTAG